ATCATGACCTGAGTCGAGATCAAGAGCCAGACACCCAACCGGCTGAGCCACCCTGGCACCCCTACTTTTTTACAAGTAATTTTTTACCGTAAGTATGCACCATGCAATATTTGGGACCTACTTAGAGTAAAGCATGATTTGCTGTTTATCTGAAATTCAGATTTAATGGGTCATCCTGTATTTTTATTTGCTAATTCTGGCACCCCTATTTTTGGAGAATCTGAACCCTGGAGGTCAGGCAGATACCAAGTATTGTTAGAAGGTAAAAAGTCATGTAAGCTCACTAGTCTAACTCCTTTTCTTCTGGTTTTCCTTTCCTTCACCATGGGCAAAAGTGTTTTGTTTTGATTTTCCTTTATCACTGCACCCTCCACTCCATACAGTAATTCAATGGTGTATATTTTTACATCACTGATTGTCTAAAGCTGTGGGGGATCCAGGATGGATATTGGCTGGTAGATGTCTCCTATCTCAATTTCAATGTACTGTATCTATTTCCGGTGTGTGACCTAGGGCCCCAGGGTTGTAGGGGCTCTGTGTGAACAGGGTATTACCTGGAAGAAGGTGAGGGTGGCCCAGTAACACATTGGAAAGTGGGGGTCTGTTAGAGTAGTGTGACTGTAGGAGTCAACTGGCTGCTGAGTTTTCCCACAGGCAGCCAAATGAAAGCACCAATTGCTCGAGTGTATTCTAGTCTCAGGATGTTCTGATTGATGCTGCCTGAGGTGCTCACAGGACTTCGTGGTTGAAAGGGGCTAGAAACGTGGCTGACGCCTGTGTCTCTGGGAACTTTCTGTGTAGCTACTGAAATCTCTTTAATTGGCTTTTAATTTAATTGTGGCTCCTGCTCCCACTTTGCCTGGCAAATTCCCAAATGTAAGCCTGGGTTTGGTTTGGTCAAAGTTGTGTCCTCTAATGAATGGAGATTTGATCCACAAGTCTGAGAGTGTGGTTTTGAATTGGACTATTCTGATGGTCCTAAACATACACTGGCATCTTGATTTTTTTTACTTAAAAGGATTTTGTATCAAGACTAACATGCTAATATCACTTTTTAAATTGTTCATAATGGATGGTAATAAACTTTTCTGATTTTACTGGGTCTGTTGCTTTCTAAAGATTGAAGCAATTCCTCCACCCCCCTCCTTTGTTTTGAGTGGCTTCTAAATGCCTTTCAACTTGCAAAGGACGAAATAACTTTAATTGTCATATTTCACATCGCACCTGTGTGTAACCGTACTTATTTTTCTACGTCAGACAACCAGGGTAGGGGACTGTCTTCCCTGTTAACATTGATTCTCTAGTTCTTGCCTCACCCCAACCACCTATGTATCTCCACGATTTAGCTTCATTTCCTGCTTTTCACTAGTGACACACCAGTTAGTTCCCTGTAAGCAATTATTACACTACATCCAGTAAACAATTATCAGACTCCTGGTGTGTTAGAGGTATTACTGTACTAGTGGCTACGGTTGTAGACATGAGACATAACATTTAATGTCCTTTGCCTCTTCCAGTTATCTCAGGAAAATATCCTTCCTCTGTTTGTCATAAAAATGAACTAATACTGACTTAATTGTGTATGGTGCCAATGCACTATTAAGTGAGTGGTAAGGAAAAGCAAAACAGGGTTGTGTTTTGTTTTGCTTTGCTTTGAAAACATATTTATTGAAGTATAATTTACATACCAAAAAATTCACCCATTTCAAGTGTACAGTTTAATGACTTTTAGTAGTGACTGAGTCCTGCAGCTGTCACCAAAATCCAGTTTTAGAACATTTCCATCACCCCCAAAAGATCCCTCATGCAGTTAATTCCTGTGCTCATCCTCAGCCCTAGGCAATCAGTACTCTACTTTGTCTTTCCTGAACATTTAGTGTACATGGGATCAAACAATACGTGATCTTTTTTTTTAAATTAACATCTACACCCAGCCTGGGGCTTGAACTCATGTGCCTGACATCAAGAGTTGCATGCTCTACCGACTGAGCCAGCCAGGTGCCCCCAATATGTGGTCATTTGGAACTCACTTGTTTTTTTTTAAATTTTTAAAATGTTTATTTGAGAGAGAGAGAGAGAGCGCGCGAGCTTGAGTGGAGGAGGGGCAGAGAGAGAAGGAGGTACAGAATCTGAATCAGGCTCCAGGCTCCAGGCTGTCAGCACAGAGCCCAACACTGGGCTCAAACCCATGAACAGTGAGATCATGACCTGAGCCGAAGTTGGATGCCCAAGCAACCACCCAGGCACCCCTGGAACTCTTCTTTTATTCAGCATAATATTTTCAAGCTTCATCCATTTTGCAGCACACATGCGTACTCCATTTCTTTTTATTGCTGAATAATATTCCATTGTATGGATATACCATATTTTATCTACTCATACTTGAGGGAAATTTGGATTGTTTCTACCTTTTGGCTACTATGCATAGTGCTACTG